ACTGAATTATTAAATAGATTTATGAAGATTAAGAAAGGAAAAAGAAATGAAAAAAAAAAACCGACATAAAAATGAGTTCAATTGGCAAACCAACAATACAAACAGTAGTAAAAAAATAGAATGAAAACCCTTCAGCAAAATCAGATAAAGAACAAATCATTTTAAGAGTAGAAAATGATAATAAAAATAATATATTGTTGACAAAACTAAATAAATAAAAGAATATAAATCTTAAATAATCCGGGCAACGTCAAGGCTTGCTAATTCATTATAAACAGTTATTTAATACATGGTAACAATAAAAGAAAAATAATGCATCATTACCAAATGAGAAATCATATTAGATATAGAATAGAGTGTTGACAAATTAATATAATAAATAGAATTAGTACAAATATAATCATAATAACATAAAACAATGAACACATATATATACAACTCAATATATACAGTAAAAAAAGCATAACAATATAATAAACACAATTTTAAGAACAATTAGAAATAATATGGAAGGAGTAAGAGAAGAGTACCTTAGAATAATTATGAAAGTGGATAGAGTTGATGTAGGAGTAAATAAACTCCAAAACCGAGATAACAGAAAAGGGGAAAAAACTAACTATTGAAAATTGAAGAAAAGAAAAGAAACAGAGAAGATAGACGATAAGTGTATGACAGCGAAAACAGAAACAAAGCAGAAGACAATGAACGTGAAAGAGAAAACAATCTATTTATAGGGAAAAAATAAACTTTCGAGTATGTGGCGGTGGTAAATACTGGAAACAAAACTTAACATCACAGTTGTTGCGTTGTAAACAAAACATAATAATTTGTTAAAAACAGGTGTTACGTTGTATGATAACTGCCGTGGAACAGAACGAAGAACCTGCAGAGAGTGAAAAAAAAATAAACAAAACGTAATAATTTGTTAAAAACAGGTGTTACGCTGCATGATAATTACCGTGGAATAGAATGAAAAACCTATAGACAGTGAAAAAAATAATTTGTTAGAAAGAATTATCCTGCACTAAAAACAAATGTCTAAATATTCCCAACTAATATAGCCTGCAAACAAATATAAAAACATGTAATAATTAATAAAAATAGGCGTTAGACCACGTAATAACCAATAAACGAATAAAAAATGACGAAAATAGAAAAAAGAGAAAAAAGTAAGAACTGATTATTTCGAAGACCTAATGAAGAAATAACCAAAATAAAAAACAAAGCTAAATCTACAAAAATACTAACAGATCTAGAAAAATGAAAAAAAATTAAAAAACACATAACAAAACGAAGCAAAAACACGTACAGATCTAAAAAAACCAAAAAGAAAAACCGACTAGAAAAACTAGAAGAAAAAATGAAGTCAAATCTACAAAAACACTAACAGATATGAAAATATATACTGGGAAAAAAAGCAAATAAAAAAAATAAAAATGAAGCCATATCTAAAAAAGGAAAAATGAAAAACAAAACTACAAAACAAAACAAACACTAAAAATGATTCCCAGAAACCTTATGAAAAGAAAGAAAGAAAGAAGCAAAAAAAAATCATAAAACATGATAAAAAAATCAAAATGAACCCAACGAAAACCTTAACCTATTTGTGAAAAAAACAAAAAAAAATCTGAAAATAACCCCACGAAAAACGCAAGGAAACCCAGAAACATAAAATAAAAGAAATTAAAAAACAGGGAACAAAACAAAGAAAAAACACGTACAGATCTAAAAAAATAAAAAAGAAAAACCTAATAAAAATGGAAAAAAGGAAGCCAAATCTACAAAAACACTAACGGATCTGGAAAAATAAACGGGATGATCTGAAAAAATAGACCGCAAAAAAACTAAATAAAAAAAAAGGAAGCCATATCTAAAAAAAACTGAAAAACAAAACTACAAAACAAAACAAACATTAACAATGATTCCCAAAAGCCTTACGAAAAGAGAGAAAGAAAGAAAAGAAAAAAAATGCATAAAACAGAGAAAACAAACCAAAATGAAACCCACAAAAACCTTTACCCATTTGTCCAAAAAAAAAATTCTCAAATTAACCCTACGAAAAGCGCAACAAAACCCAGAAACATAAAATGGAGAATAAACTTAGAACCAAAACACAATAAACCAGAGAAAATCACAAATAAAACGAAGAGAACTTGTGAAGAGGAAACAAAAAAGAAGAAGAGCCTCGGTAAAAGAGACATTAGATGCAGGCGTAGAATCAAAAATGAAAGAAGCAAGAAGCTCTTGAGAAGATTAAACAAAAACCGCCGCACAGGAAATAAAGAAAAAGAGCCTCGATAAAAGAGACATTAGATGCAGGGAAAAAATGAAAGAAGCAAGAAGCTTCTCGAGAAAACTAAACAAAAACCACCGCACCAAATGACAAAAGTGCCCAGCAGAAAAACATGGGAAGGGAAAAAAATTGAGGACAAAATAATTAAAACAAATTGTAATAAACGCAAACAACATTTTGAACACATATTGGACCAGGTCCCACCACTCTGCACTCTCTCTCTCTCTCTGCAGAAACCGGGCCCCACCACTCAAACATTTCACATGCATCCTCTCTCTCTGCATAAATTTACCAAAACCCAAAACAACATCAACTGCAACAAATTAAAACCAAGGATAAAATTGTACAATCACAACAAATTTTAGGACACAACCGGAATTGTTCTAAAAAATAAGGATAAGAAGGACCGGGCACTGTTCTAAGAACAGTAACCCGGGTGCCTTATGTATAATATATATATACTAGTAAGTCAGCGCGTGCTTGCTTTGGTAAGGTGAATTGTGAACTAACAGTAAATAAATTTTAAAATAATTAAATAAATGAGAAAGAAAATGTTAGTATTTATATCTGTCTGTCGTAAATAATAAAACGTCGTGAGATTTTCCTGCTCATCTTCATCTCTATAGCTTCGAAAAATAAGATTTTGAGGTTGAATTTCATAAACAATTTCACAATTAACCACCAGATTTCAACAAATAATAAGAACAAGAGAAATTCATTGATGAACAATACAAAGAACTATGGTCTACGGGATGATACTAGGAATCATGAAGAAAAGTAACATGAAAGAAAAATAAGAAAAAGAGAGAAAAACATTCTCATACTTTCCATTTTCCTCACTTTTCCTTCATTGCTTACCGCAAAACCTCTGTCGGCAACCAAATGGTGTTCAAGAAAAAGATAAAAAAACATTACAGCCAAAGTTCTCCTTACAACTTCACTTTTCTTGTTGTATTTTAAGCTTTTCTTACATTCGAATATCCCTTAAGCCAATCACTTTGGGTGTGCTAGTTCAAGTCTCGTCTCAGATTGCTACAAAACTAGAATGACATTATCAACTAGAAAAGTAGAGCACCTCTCATCAAACCTTTCTCTTCAATTGACTGTTCATAAACTGAATGACAGTAATTACCTGGAGTGGGCTTAGTCCATTAAGCTGGCCATTGATGGCAGAGGGAAACTTGGCTATTTAACCAGAGAAGTGAAGCAACCAACAATAGGGGATCCGAACCTGAAAGCATGGAGGTCAAATTACTCCTTGGCGATTGCATGGCTCATCAACTCCATGGAACCAGCCATTGGAAAGCCACATTTATTTCTGCCACAGCCAAAGATGTCTGGGAAGCAGTATGTGACATGTATTCAGACGTGAAAAATTCATCCCAAATTTTCGAATTGAAAATAAAACTTTGGAAGTCCAAACAAGGAGACCGTGACGTTACATCATATTACAATGAGATTGTACCACTTTGGTAGGAATTGGATCTTTGCTATGAAGATGAATGAGATTGTCTAACTGACAGTGTTCGCCATAAGAAAAGAGAGGAGAATGATCGAGTCTATCTATTTCTTGCAAGTCTTAAGCAGAAAAATGGTCAATTTAATTTACGTGGTGAAACACAAAACTAATCTAAGGCAACCATCAAAGTAAATTAACAAAAACGATTTACATCTACCTAATTGGAGAATCGACAATTCCATAAACAAAATTCAATAAAAACGCAAACCATGATGAAGATTGAAAAGAAATTACGAAAAAGTTGATCGAAAACAAAGTCATTTTCGTTGAAACTTAGAGATAGAAATAGAAAGAGAGAGGAAATCAAACCTCATCGCTAAAAGATTCAAGACATGAAAAGAGAGGCATCAATAGCGAAGAGAGGGCGGCGGTGATGAGAGAGAAAGGATGGAGAAGAGAGAAGGCAAAAGAGAGAGAGTCAATTGAGAGAGTGCAGCGTCAGAGAGAGACAGGGGGGGGAGGAGGAGTGTAGAGAACGCAAAGGAGAGAGAGAGAAAGATATAAGGGAGGGTAATATTAGTATTTTAGTACCTCATTCATTTCACCGATTTGATTTTAGAATTCAAATTTTACTACAGTAAAAAACTATTAGAAACAATCGCATTTAACTTTTTTGCTACACTAAAAAGCTTATACATAAACTCACATCTCAACTCGAATTAAAAACTCAAATCAACGAATTAAACGGCCCATAGATATATTAAAAGTGATTTTCTTAGTACGCCAACATACCGATATGTCAGGTTTTTTATTTGTTAATCTAAATAAAATCACGTAAAAATAAAAAAAATACATAAATTTAAACATACCGAGAATCTCCCATATTAAAAATCCCTTTAAACTAAGGGCCCGTTCGGTTCGCTAATTTAAATTTTTAATTCGAGTAGAGATGTGATGTTGTGTGAGAGCTTTTTACTGTAGCAAAAAAGTTAGATGTGACTGTTTCTGAGAGCTTTTTACTGTAGAAAACTCGAATTAGCGAAATGAACGGGGCCTAAGTTTTTTGACATTTTCTTCATTTTAAATTAATGTATGCTATTAATTTTAATCACTCCCTAAATATATGCTATTTCCCTCCGCACCCTTTCTTTCTCTCTGATCCATTCCTAATTCATGTGTTCTTCCCACGTTATTTGGGCCAACAGCACTCTAGAGGTCCATTACCTGTTAAACCCCATCATCACGTCAATGTGGTCCATGTCCACACCAGTTGGGCCCATCCCCTCCAATCCAACCGTCGCCTTCACCACGCCGCCGAACTACGCTGGCCGACTGTCCCACCTTCTTGCTGCCAACGGCCTCAACCCCCTCTCCTCCCCCACCCTCCTAGTCGAGCCCACCCCTCGCACCATCTCCGCCCTCAAATCCTACCTTCCTCCGCCCCATTCCCTCAACGCCCTCTTCTCCGCCGTCGCCTCCGACCTCGAATGCCCTCTCCTCTCCCCCTTTGGCGACCGCGAATTCACCATCGCCGCTCTCGGCAAGGACTCGGAGCTTCTTTACGATGAATACCTCACCAAATTCGGCAAGAATCGTGATCGGATTAGGGTTTTGGTCCCCCTAGTCGCCATGCCGAGCGGACTAGTGCGATCTCTCAGGGATGGCCGTCGACAACGGGTCCTGTGTACGGTCCCAATCATCGTGGATCTCGAGGAGCCTCCGGTGGTGCCAAACTTTCTCCGGGAGCTGGAGTCGAGCCGGTGGATCCCGGTCCTTGTCGGCACGTACGAGACGCCCTGAGCTGGGCGTGAGTGCGTGAAGGAGGTGGCAGAGAGGATTGAGAAGAGAGATTTGGCGGTGATCATGTTCACGAGCACGGCGGAGGTGGAAGGCCTGTTGAAAAGCTTGAGGGAGCTAGGGTTGGACTGGAAAGAGGTGAAGGCAAGGTGTCTGGAGTTAGTGGTGGCGGCGCACGGGCCGATGATGGCGGACGGCGCGGCAAGGCTCAGTGTCGAGGTTGACTTGGTAGGTGACAAGTTTGATAGCTTTAATGGTGTTGTTAATGCTCTTTGTCTAAGATTACTTGTGTTGACGGCTAAATTTTGTCACAGAAATACGCTGGGTTACCCACTAGTATCTCGTTGGGTTACTGGATGGAAATTAACCGTATATTTGAAATTATGCTATGAAGTGTTTGTTTTATTTTTGGAAGCAGGAGAATAATACTTGAATGAGAGGACACACGAAATTTATAGTGGTTCACTCTATTAATGAAGAGCTACATCCACTTGTGTATTGTATTTCTTCTTTGGACTGTTACAATTTACATGTATCATTCCTCTTCCTCTGATTGAATATCAAAGAAGCTCATCCTCCTCGTGTATGGGGCTTTGTCCCTTTTATAGCTCAAGGTTCCTTCGTGGGCGGTTCTCCTCTGTAGGTAGAAGTACTCGAGTGGCCTACGTTTCTAGGCCCAGACCGTAGCCCACTAATCACTTTTTGAACTGTTCACTCAGCCAATTAGTCTTCTATTATGGCTCTATAGATTCCTGTAATCCTTCACTGCCCACTGTAGGGTGGTTTAGGGGTTTGTAATTAATGCCCGTACTGCAAACATCTCCCATCTCTAGACGCAAGTTGTGATGTCAGACTCCTTTCTGAAGAGTATTCCCCTCGTCGTCTGCGCTGCGTAGACCGCATGTCCTTCCTGGCAGTCGACCCTTTCCAGAGGAATTTTGTTGCCATAAGATCGAGGGCACGACTGGTCGACGGTATGCCGGGTCGATGCCCTAAGTCAGGCCTTCTTTGTAGCATAGAGGGGAAGCGAGCTTCAAGCGTCGAGGGTTGTCACTTTTTAAGGAAAAGTAGGGTCACGTGTCACGCTGTCACCATTCCACATGTCACCCATATTTTCCCACACAACAGCTGCCCCTTCATCTTCCCGCCTTTGTTTGCTACCGTCAGATATGGGCAAAATGCCCATGCCGTTGGATTTTATGAACTTTATCTAACGGTCAGGGGTCGAGGGCTTGTTTTCCCTTAAATACTCCTCGAACCGAAGCCATTTTTTCCCAAACTTCTTGAATTGCCGTTACTCTGCTTAATTCTTTCTTGTAGGTTCTGACTTGCATCCCTTGCTCTTCTCGGTCCCTCGTAAAGCTATCTCGGTTCCCAGATTTTGCCCAAACTCTGACTCACTGGTAAGCTTTAACGATTGCTCATTTGTATTGCTTGATGATTTTACTGGCTTTCCTATTGAACCATAGGCATGTTAATATGTAAAATGTAGAGGATAGAGACTTTACCATGCGCTCTATTTGACCCACGTAGGATAGTTTTTTTAATTTCTGGCTGATTGTGGTCTCTGACTCCTAGGTTCTGATGAACCTCGGTTGTTATGAACATTCACCGTTACCATTTTTATTTGAATGGTCGACGTTATGTTGAGAGGCGCCAGTGGTAATTGAGCAATTCTTTAGAATGGTCGTCGTTTACTCCTTCCTCTCGACTTAGGATTTTGACTTAGCTCCTTGTCTTTTTTACCACCAGAACAATGGCCCCAAAACCCACCCGTCGAGAGGACCCGTCTGTTGTACAACCAGACTCCCCTTCCGTGGTGGAGATTTCATGGTCATCTTCCTCATCAGACGACGACTCAATATTAAGTGAAGTAGAAGAATACGTGGCCGGACCAAGCGACGAGTTTGACAGCGTCAACCGTATGATTGAAGAAGAAGTTAATAAGATTAGTGTATGTGGGGTCACCGCTTCACTGGTGGAGGCCCCCTTGGCTGCCACGAGCAGAGACCTGGACAGCCCATTTTTTACGGCTGATGTCGTGGTGTCAAGGGTCCGAAATAAAGACATCATTCGGGTTGTCAAAGAAGGTTGGATCGACGGGAGATGGTTTGAGTACCTCCCCCCGGATGTACATTTTAGGACCAGCATCCCTTCTAATGGGTATCTCCCTGTATATACTCGGGCTGTTATGGCTAGGATGACCTTACCCGTTCATCCCTTCGTCAAGGACTACTATCATTTTTATGGTATCTCTCCTACCCAATTGGCGCTAAATTTTTGGTATTGTTTTGCCGGCGCCTGGCTTTTTTAGAGCCAACGGTTTGATATGGACCTACCGTTGGATGAGTTTATGTTTATGTATAGATTATGCCACGTCGCCAAATGTGCGGGGTGGTATTTTTTGAGTGGACATGGGCGATCGAAGCCTAGGCTTGGTACACTAATACGAGGTATTCTATTGTCGTCACATGGGTGGAAACCCATGTTTTTCATGATACGAGTGCCTTTTAACTTTCACCCCAACGACCGCATGCCCCGCCAAAGGAAGGTGCAAACATCGTTTGGGAATATGGGTGAGAATTTGACACTTCGTTTCTTTCCCTTTCCCTCTCTCCTTTTTTTTTACAGCATTGATAGTTCCTTTATCCTGTAGTTAGCCACGATCAGCCGAAGCTCGCTGGGAATAGATTGGCGAGGGTTGAAAAGGCTTTTTTGTACTCAGAGAAGGCTCGCCATATTGACACCCTCTTGACCGAGTCCAACCTTAGAGAAGCAGGGTTGATTCTTGACCTTCCAGACCCCACTAATCTTCTCGCCGTCCGTGAATACTTTCATCTAAGCGACGAAGGTAAACTCTTGGGCTCGACTCTTCTCTTAATATTATTTTGCATAACTGCACGTTGACTGCATTCTGACTTGTCATTTGCACAGAAATGGCTTCTTTAAGGATTCAGCTCCCAGGCAACCAGCAGCCTCAGTCCGGCCCACAGCCTCAATCCAAAGGAAAAGAGAAAGCCAGCACCTCTTCCCCGGTGCCGAAAAGAATGAAAACCACGGAGGTTTCTTTGGGGTCAGGTTCGGAAGCTCCTGCGCCCAAAAGAAGGTGCAAAGAGAGGGTGCCAGTGATTGAGACTTGGACGCCGGCAGTTCCAATCCCTGACGTTGCTGATATTCCTTTGGCGCCTAGGGAACGCGTGCTTATTCTGGGGGCAAAAATCATGGATTCCAACTTCCAAGTTCTGGACATTTCTGACGCTGAGATTGGGGACATGCTGAAGCTTTTTCCCCATTTCTCCCTCATCTTCCAGGCCTTATACAAATCATTTCTTAAGCCGCACTAGATCTCCGCCGCTCATTCTTCTCTGGTGGATCGTCAGCGCAAGCAGATTTCCTTCCAAATTCATGTAAGCTTCGACTGTGCTTTTTTCATTTTTAGATTCGTCCTTCGCATCTTTATTTTCAAACTTCCAATTTCTCAGGGCCTAGTTCTTTCCATTCTCAACCTTATTAATCTAGTCAAGGTTGAGGAACGTGGTAAGGAGATGGACAGTCTAGAAGCCAAGCTTACATCTCTTCTTGACGATGCCAAGGAAAAGTGCTCGTCTACTGTCGAGGAGAGGGATGTGGTCGTGGCCAAGCTGGTGAGTTTGGAAGGGGAACTAGCCAAGCTGTCGAGTCTTCAAAATGAGTTGGCCAGTTTGAAGACTGCGGTCGAAGAGCTTACAAAACGGGCAGAAATCTCTGTGAAGAAATCGGCCGAAGCTTTTGAGGCCGTGAAGAAGTGCTTTGTTGAGGGAAAGGCTAAAGGGAAGAAGGAAGCCGAAGCCGAGGCCTCGGCAATGTTCAACGCCAAGCGTGAGGAGATTATTGAGGAGTTCAAGGCTTCCCTGGAGCTCATTGACATTCATACCAAGGACTTTCAGTCTGCTGGACAGTAAATTGTCGATCTGATTAAACAAGAGCATCCTAAGTGGGATTTGAGCTTCCTTTATATTCCTCCTCCTCCTGCTAACGACGGTAATTCTTCCCTGCCTGGCGATGGTGATGACTCAATGGCTGGCGGCGAGGCTTAGGGCTTCTCTTTTTTCTTTTTTGTAGAGACTGTTATATGTTATTATATACATTTTATATAATATTGGAATTTCCTTTTATTCTGTTTGTTTTTTAAGATAGTAGATTTCATGATTGTTCGTCGTTCTCCTTAGAGGAGCAATTTATTTTTACCCCTTGGGGTCGTCGTCTTAGCAAATTCCTTAAAATTTGCTAAGTGTTTGCCTCTCCTCCTTGGAGGAGACGACGTTAACTTTACCCCTTGGGGTCGTCGTCTTAGTAAATTCCTTAAAATTTGCTAAGTGTTTGCCTCTCCTCCTTGGAGGAGACGACGTTAACTTTACCCCTTGAGGTCGTCGTCTTAGTAAATTCCTTAAAATTTGCTAAGTGTTCGCCTCTCCTCCTTGGAGAAGACGACATTAACTTTACCCCTTGGGGTTGTTGTCTTAATAAATTCCTTAAAATTTACTAAGTGTTCGCCTCTCCTCCTTGGAAGAGACGACGTTAACTTTACCCCTTGGGGTCGTCATCTTCTAGTGATCCGTAGACCCCTTACTGCCCCCCATGTCTGTTTAATATACCTTGATTTTTTAAGCATACATGTTATTAAGGGGTAAATTCCTTTCATTTTTGAACAATATTTCTACAAACACATCAATTTATTTAAATTGCCAAAAATATAATTGAGATGCGTAAGAATTACATACACTATTGGTAGTACAACCTTAGCTGTTCCGCATTCCACGGGTGTTGAATTCGCTTGTCGGCGAGGCTTTTCAAGATGTAGGTGGCAGGACGCAACACTTCCCTTATATGGTAGGGTCCTTCCCAAGTTGGGCCCAGAGGACCAGTATTTTTGGATTTCGTACTCTGCGTCACCCTCTTCAATACTAGGTCTCCTAGGATGAACTTTTTTTTGTCTAACTTTCTTGTTGTAATATCGTGGCGCC